CATATATGGTAAGGAAGGATGTGGTGGCCATGTTAGAGGAGCAGCAAGAGGTAACTGAAGTTCAGAGTGCCAGGCCACCAGGAGGAAAGTCTCATGAGTCAATATCACGCAGGCAAGGCCCCAGACCACCCACCCCTTAACGTCTTTTGCTTCTGCTATGCCTTTGTGCATTTGCTGTTGCTCTTTTTCTCTGGTGTCAGGCTGTTTTTTTACTCTTTGTTTTGTATTTATTGCAATTATTCACTTGAAAAACAGAATGTAACCACATTGTAACTGTGACTAGAAGATTTTGTTGGGGTATATAAGCTGTCAGGGTAAGAATAAAGATAGAGTTAAAATAGGCTAGAAGTAAAACATCAAGAATGAGAGAGTTACAATGAGTTAGAAGAAAACCAAGAGGAATGAGAGAGTTAGAAGGAAAGCATCAAGAATGAGAAAGTCAAAGGGAACTAGAAGGAAAGCATCAAAAATAAAGACAGAGTTAGAAGTTAAACCTCAACTATGAAAGATGAAAATCACCAGGAAAATAAAGAATGGAGAATGCAAAAGAAGAATAAAGAAAAGGTCTGAAGGAAACCATCAAAAGAGTGTGTGACTATCTTTGTTTTTTACTGCCTCGGTTAAAAAGGGCTTAGTATGCACTGATTCTGTGGATTTTCTCTTTGAGCCCTGTGCTGTTTGGAGGCTGGGCTCCCAGGCAGCAATAGTGGGGTTCTCTGAAGGTGGGAGAATCCTGTCAGAAAACATTCTCTTAGCTGGGACCTGCAGTGTGAACAGGCAGACAGTGTACGGAAGGACAAAGCAATTTTCTGACAGAGGTATTGGCACGTCCACTGTGCATGATGGAAAGGAACTCAACATCCTGAAAGAATTTAGAGCTGGGCCTGAATGTCAGAGCCGCCGTTTTCACTTTCTTGGCAGTCTGAGGGAACAGGACTACAAGTTTAGTCCTGCCTGAGTGACGATGATAGTCAAGTTTTTCATGAGCAACTTGATGAGAAGCAGTCTAAAGTATGCAATCAATTATAATTTGAAGAGAGTCCTTATCCATTTTTCATTGCTAGAAAAATTTCAGGGATTGGATATAATTATAAAAGGAAAACATTTATTAACCTCACAGGTCTGGAGTGGAGGATAAATGTATAACTCAAAATTGCAGATGAAAATAATATCAGGAAAACATGTGTGTGACCCAATAGACACATCTCCTTCTTGCTCCTCCAATTCTGAAAAAAAGTAGTAAATGAATTTCATTTATGGTCTTGTTAGACATGAAGTAAGACAGCAAAGTTTATAGGGAGAACCAGCTGAAGAAGCTAAGAACTGAAAATTAGCATATTTCTGTCGAGGACCGGCCTCAACAAAAATATGTCTTACCAGGGTAGTGGCATGCAAATTAAAGAAATATAAGTAAAGAATATGAAGATACATAAAAATCATAAGACAGAAAACAGAGAAAGTATTGGAAGAACATTCCAGTGACTGATATCCTGAAATTCTACCATGTTTAATTTTCCACTGCTTTTTTACTCAATGGAAACTGGGGGAGAGGGTAACAAAAGACTTTATTAACATGATACAAAGGGTAGTTAACACAGTCAATTCCGATTAGCTCATTAGCATTCTCTTGTCCAGGTAGCAAAGGTGCTCTAGGTCACTGTAGCTGAAGATAGCCCTCCTTTAGGTGACCTCACAATTACTAAAGAAAGGAGCAGGGGTACATTTGTATATCCTGACCACCTTCAGGGTGGCATTGAGCTATCTTAATTTCAAAAGAGCCAGGCCACCACTTCCTGAGTTATGGGGTACAATTATGCCTGTCAGTCTCCAAACTCTCTGATTGTTGGACAAGGTGTTTCCGAAATGGGCCTGCATTTTTCAGTCTCCACATATTTCCACAGTGGATGAGAAGATTTCCCTTAAATAGTATGATGGGGCAACTGCTGGGCTATTGAAGATATGTGTTCAAGAGGGCAACATCAGAGGTAGGGCAGGCAGTGAGATGCAGGAGTGGGAGCTCCTATGACTTCTTGAAACTGCATCTGTAACCTAGGAGCTGGGTTAGTGATTACCAGTATTCCAAGAGTGTGGAGATATGCTAAAGTACCTGAGTGACATGGCTATGACTAAGTACATTACCACTGTACATAAGGAGAGAGAATAGGATCGTGTCTGGTTCCAGAAGCATAATATGGTATACAATTTTAATCAGATGAATGTGGACAGGCAATGCACTTGGAAATACTCCCAAAGTGGTCCTTGGCAAATCACTACCAAATGATGCTTGTGGGACTCCATCAGGAACTGCATCAATGCTGATTTGGTTAACATCATCTTCACTGTCTTTGGCATGGGATGAGGTAGCACTTGTGTTTCACCACAATCTGTCTATTGTAGTTCAAAGATGGAATTTTGCCACTAAATTTACATACTCAGGAAAAGACATCCAGTAGTGAGTACATTATGTAGTACATAAACACATAATGAAATAAATGTACCAAATCTTATTTTTCAACCCTAGTTTTTTCTTCTCCAGTATCCCAGTACATGCAACCACAGCTTGAGCATGTTGTCCTACATGCCATCTTGGAATGTTATGAGCCTTTCTGGGATATTCTTACTACTATGGATTCTTGATAAAGAACAGCTAGAGAAATATCTAGATACTACACTGATTGTCATCTGAAAGCTTTTTTTTTTTTTTTTTTTGTAAAACATGGAAGTACAGTGGTCGATTTTCTTAGCTGGAAATCTGAAATTTACTGAATCAGTGGTATCTGGATAGTTCATGAAGAAGCCACTGGGGAACTCACCAGAGCAGATGCTCACCCCGAGAGAAGGCCAGCAAAGAGATACTGAGCACATCTGCTGTGGCCAACTGAAAATTCCTAAAAGCCACCATTATAACACTGGTGCCGTTTATGGAGAGCCCAAAGGCTGTCCTCCTCAAAATAGTTTAATGCTAGAGGCATTAAGTTTCACAGTTGAGTTGACATTATCATGGAGGAATTGATTTTAAAAATGACAAAATTAGGATGAAATCTTAAATAGCCATGCTCTGAAAACATCAATTGTGCTCTAAGTTGTAACAGCATTACCATGCTCTGAAAACAAAACAAACGAGAAAAAGAAGAAAAAAAAAAACTATTTTTCCTGGTTGTGACAGCATCAAGCTTGTAATACAGTATGAAGAAAGGAGGCTTTGAACATGGGCCCGGACCAGGTTGCAGAGACCAGGTACTAATTTCTCTTACTACAGGCGTTAAAATAGAGTTAGCAGTGAGGTCAGTGTACATCCAAGACCTATTTGCAACACTTATTATCAGTTGTTTCCTAAACAATTCATTAATATTATGAGTTCTCTGGCAAGGTGATGAGTTGTGTAAAACCACACCACAGAACACATGTAGGGCAGCTCCAGGAGAGGCTGGCAATTAGGACCAAAATGAAAGCCATAATGCTAATCCTTATGAGAGTCTATATGTTATTTGAGGTTTCTAATACTGAGAACTCTGGCATAAAAATGGTAAAGGTATATTTTAAAGGACTGGTGTATGTAAGTATAGAGATGATAGTCATGAAGAGGGCATCACAGAGATGACATATAAGTATCATGTCTTATAAACATCTTGCATTCTTCTTGTGATATAGGGGAACTGAAGTGTGTGGGACCAGAGAATGAGAGCAGTCCATTCTAAGAAGAGCAGGAGTGTGAAGTAAAATTGATTTGACACTGGAAAGGGATCAATAAGGTCACAGCTGTCTCCAATCTTCAACCAGGAGATATGTGTGGGTTGAGGATTATAGATAAAGGAAATCTCCTTGTTGTTCACTAAGACTCTGAATTTCTTTTTATTTTTTATATTATTTTTATTGAGCTATACATTTTCCCCTTCTCCCCTTGCTTCCTCCCCTCTCTCCTTCTATTCTGTTCCATGATCCCCAAATTCCCAATTTACTCAGGAGATCTTATCTTTTTCTCCTGCCTTTGTGGATCCATTTATGTTTCTCTTAGGGTCTCCTTTGTTGTCTAGGTTCTCTGGGATTGTGGCCCCCCTTGGATTTCTTGCTCAGAGATCAGGTCTAGTTACCTCTATAGTTGGCTATAGAATTACTTAGGAGGACTAGCTACCTGTGGAGTTGGCTATAGTGTTAGGAAGACTCAGGGATTGTAGAGTCAGAAGAACATAGTGTTATAGGCATACCAATGTATTCAGATACTCTATTGTGTGTTTATTTATTCATTTCCTTATTTAAAGTCAAGGAGTTGAACATGTATAGTAGGGGCAAAGCTTTATAGGAAGAGAATGCTTTTTGGAGATTTTGCTGTCCATTGACATCTCTACATGTTTGATAATTATTTTCTTTAACAGGTTTATAATTAGGAGTGAAAATACAATTACTGTATTATATCAAAACAGAAATTAATCTAAAAGACAAATTTAATTTAAATTTGCAGGGAATTTAATGTAATTTGGGGCAGATTGTTTGACCTTATACTACTATCTTACAGTAGTAAAATGGTAAGATCATTTCATTTATTTTTTTAGTAATAGTATAAAATGGATTACAATAAAACAACAACTAGCACTTTGGAATAGAGAAAACACACAAACACAAGGAAAAGAACTAAAGACAAGGCTAAAGAAACAGAGGCCCACTGGTTCACACACTTAGGAATTCCAGGAAAATAATACAATGAAAGACATACTATATATAAAAGACCTGGTGCAAACCCATCTTGATGCTGTGCTTTGTGCTTCATTCTCTGTGAGTTCAAAGAAGCTTTGCTCATGCTAATTCAGAGGTTGTTGTTGCCATGGTATTGTCCCTTTCCTATGGCTCTTAACATTCATTTTGTCTTTTGTTTCTTGGGTTCCCTGACCCTAAAGGAAAGGATTTGACGAAGACAACCTCAATAGGGCTGAGTATTTTAAATCTTTCACTCTCAGCATAAGGTTTAGTTGTGGGCCACTATCTTTATCCCCATTTGGAGAAAGCTAAGAAAGAGAGTTTAAAATACCATTATTATGTCCAAATTTGTTTCTGAACACATTCTGGAAAACTCTCTTCAAGGACCTCTTCACTTCCTTGTTCCTCAGTGAATAGATTAAAGAGTTCAGCATGGGTGAGACAATATTATTTAATATTTGCACCACAGCACCAAGCAGGGGGTTTGGTGTGCGCTGCAGGTAGATGATTATTACTGGTCCATAGGCACAGAGGATGGCAGTGAGGTGGGCACTGCAGGTGGAGAATGCCTTCTGCCTGCCCTCTGCTGAACGGATTCTCAGAATGGCAATCCCAATGTGTGCATAAGAGACACAAACACTGAAGAGAAGCATCAGAGCCAGAAAGCCAACATTAATGGAACCCACCTTCTGAGCCAGTCTGCTATCAGAGCAAGCCAAAGGCAAAACTGCAGGAAGGTCACAGAAGAAATAGTCCACTTGATTAGATGCACAGTAGACTAAATGAAAGGTAAAACAGGTCAGGATGGTGGCATGAAGAAACCCCACTGAACAAGCTATTGTTACCAAGCTCACACACACTCCAGGTTTCATGATGAGCATGTATCTCAGTGGGTGACAGATGGCAACATAGCGATCATAAGCCATCACAGAATAGAGGCAGCCTTCAGTAGAACCCAGGAGGTGATAAAAGAAGAGCTGGGCAGCACAGCCTTTGTAAGAGATGGAGGAGCTCTGACCAGAGAGATAAAGTAGCATCTTGGGGCAGGTTACTGATGGGAACAGCATATCAAAAATGGATAGAAGGCCCAAGAAGAAATACATGGGAGTGTGAAGCGTAGATGAGGAAACAATTGCTGTGAAAATGAGTGAATTTCCAAGCAAGGTGAAGAAGTAGATGAATAAGAACACAACAAAGAGTAGAGTCTCCAGTCCTTGTGTGTGAGGTATCCCCAGGAGGATGAATTCATTGAGCAGTGTGTAGTTCCTCATTATCTTTAAAGGTAGTCTTGGTACAAACAAGTTTCAGCTAAATCCAAAAACAAGGAAATAGAGTAATTACAAGTAATTCAACACTAATTTACCAGTCACCATTCTTGCTAAAATCTAAAATTGGTCTCATGTTCTATTCATGATCATGAAATAATATCCAACAGTATCCAAGAGTGGATACATCATGCAGAGTAAGTGCTTGATTTATTCACATTTCTGCAGGAGTAGCAAGCGCACATTTGGTTAGGGTCTTTTGGATGAAGATTGCCTGCTGTGTCTGGAGGTAGTAAATGGCCTCACATTGGAAACAGGGTTAAACAAAGGAAAAAGCAGCAAGTAGGCATTTCTAAGAGATTCACTGGAGAGAGAACCCACTAGCCCATTAGTTCACTAATGCAGGAAAATATCAACCTTTATATTCCTATGACTTCATTCCTTCTCTGCATACTTCAAAAGGGAAACTACATATTGATAAACACAAGAGACACACAGACACACATGCACACACACTAATGTAATATTTTTTTTAAAAAGAACTATGATTATTACATTTAAATATTAGCTTTCTTAGAAATGTCTAGTAATTACAGATGATGTTGAAATAGAATATTAGGTATTTTTCAAGAAATACTTTGGAATTAGTAAAGTATACTTATATTTCCATATTTGAAGACACTATATTCATTCCTGATTACTAATACAGAGCTAAGTAAAATTGAACACTGCCAAATAAGGAATGCCTTAGAAAACATGTCACAGGGTCAAACAGAAATTATGCTGAATGTCTTTAATCATTTGCATGACATGAATGACCTGGAAGCACAAGTTTCTGGTTATTTTTCAAAGCATTTGCAGAGTTTTTCAAAGCACTCATCAAACTCCCAACACATTTATCAAATATGGACTTGAGTACCACAGCTTTGTCAGGGTAAAAGATTTTGACTTTCCCCACATGCTCCTGGAAAAAGTAGTCCATCTCTGTGTTGTTTTCTCTCAATCAACCAAGGAAAGTAAACTGCTGAGAATCGGTAATCTTTCCTAGGTTTTCATTGTGGCTATCTGTCACCGCGCTCTCATGGACAGGTCATTGTGAATCATGGAAGCCCAGGTGATGCTTCCATCTACAGCTTCACCTCTATGATCTGCAGTTTGGACTTACACTATAACTGTTCCAATTACTTACTTTATGCTCAATTTGTTTGATTGTTCTTTTTTCATATTTAACATCTGCTGATTGATGCATTTGTCTTCTAAATATTGTAAGATTAAGCCAATTGTTTCCCTCTCTACAAAGGAGATTCTGATAGATAGAGCACATGTTCCTGGAGAGTGAATAGTCTTTGGTGCTGCAGCATTAATTACAGTAAATGAAGCATATATAATATAATGAAATATGTATGACACAAACATATATATATATACATTCAATGACAGCTTCATAATTGTTGATAACTGTTTATCATATTCTTAAATAAAAACACACATGATAATCTGAAATAAAGAATTAAGGAAAGAAAATGGAGTTCTTTGTTCAAAGGAAAAATGGGAAATTTTTGTTATTGGATATTATTAGTAACAAAGAGTGTGAAATTTGCAGTATAAAACTATTCAATTAGTACAGAATTACATACCATGATGTGTATAGCCTTAGATACTTGATTTATGTAATGGGTCTTTGTCACAGGATACCTAATGTGACATACATATTTCACCAGTTCAATTGGTTTATTTCCCTATTGCCATTTGATAATGTTGATAGACATTTCATCCTATCAGGTTCTTTCAGTCTAATGTCCTTTCATGGTGTTTGTTGGAAGACAGTCAGTTTTCTTCCTTTTTGTTTCCTATAATCCTCTATATCTGTGACAGAACTTCCCTTACATTTGAGGTCAGTTGTTCCTAACTGTAGAAGCAAGGTAACAATGGCCACTGGGTGGCTCTCATGCTATGGATCTCTCTGCACAGGCTCCTGGAATATTTCAGACCAACTGCAGTGGAGTTTAATGTAGACTAGTGCACACCAAATAACTGCTATTTAAGTATTTAGTTGATGAACATATTCCTAGGCAAACACATCTAAACACGTGGTACTAAAACCTTTGGGGTGTGGTATATGACGTTTGAACTGTGAAAACATAAAGAACAAATTTAAGTGATATTTTTTGTAGGTAGAAATCAATAGAATTATTTGAGGAACTACACTTGAAACGGTGGCTTGTTCTTCTAATTGTGTTTAGTATATTAGTTCCTCAGTAAATGGCCATTCAACTCATAAAATATCCTCATCCTGGGTGCTGTGAAGTTTAAGTATAACAATATTCATGGAATAACTTTGAGAATGCTAGAAAATTCTATTGCTATCTTCTGGCAGAGGAGAATAAGAGAGAACAGAGATAAGAAAACAGAAGGTGTTTAAGATATTTGTCTGTGTTGGATCTGGTTTACCTAATGTGTGCCTTTTGTATGCCTCCAGTTTCTAGTCTCTGAAAGAATGATAGTATTACCTTTTGATATCTTGCTTTTAGACCAAACAAGGTACTGCAATAACAAGACTTCTAAGGTCTGCAGATGCTCAGCAATTGTTGTTTAATTCCTCAATCAAGGAAAGTAGATATACTCCTGTGGGGCTGGAGTAGAGCTCAGGGAGAAAGCTCTCGTCTACTGCTGTAAGAAGTTCAGTTCTATCTCAAGCAGCAAAAGAAAGACATCAAACAAGGACACTGTTATAATGCATGGCTTGATATTCACATGAATATCATGAACTCTAAAAAGAATAATGAGAAGTCTTTATAACGTGCTCTTGAATCTCTATCAAGACTAATTTTTTTAAAGGTGAAAAGTAACATCTGCAATAGAAACAGTTGAAAACCCTGGTTAAAGGGTTAACTGATCATTTACTCTCCATGTGTGATATCATTTCCAAAACACTCAAAACAGAGCGCAAATCAGAACTATGCAGTACATCTGAAAGGTGCTTCGCAACAGGAGTTAATGCATGACTCATAGTGCTGCTGCTTCTAAAGCAGAACAAATCTGAATGCCAGAAAAAAAAATAAACTTCCCAAAAAGGAATCCTATGAGACAAAGCTCATGAAATTCATCTCACTGCAGCCTGAAATGATTTTTCACTATTTGAAGAGAGTTTAGAGACAATGAAGTAGATCAATGGTTCAGGACAATTGACACTAGGCCTGAGGACCTGAAATAAATCCCCAGGTCTCATATGGTATAAGCAAGTGACTTATTCAAATTGCGGTGTGATTTCCACAAGAATGCTGTGCCAGGAATGTACCTTCACACAGGCATACTTACACAGAAAGTAGACAAAAGTGCTATAATAAAAATTTGCCTGGTGGTGATGGCGCAATCCTTTAATTCCAGCACTCGGGAGGTAGAGGCAGGTGGATGTCTGTAAGTTTAAGGCCAGCCTGGTCTATAAGAGCTAGTTCCAGGCCAGGCACCAAAAGCTGTAGAGAAACTGTCTCAACAAACAATCAAACATGTATTTTAAATAAAATCAAATTTCCCTTATAATAAAAAAAGCGGTTTTCTTTTTTGAAATCTTGAAGATTAATGTATATCACTTTTTTCTAACCATCACTAGCTACTGTTATAGATATCATAGATGCATGGTCTCAAAACTCATAGTGGTTCATACCTTTAATCCCAGATCTTGGAAGACAGGATCTAGTTCGAGGCAGCTTGGTCTACAAAGAGGGTTCCAGGACAGCCAGTGTTGTTACATAGTAAAACCATGTTTTGGAAAAGAAAACAGAAACACAACAAAAAGAGTAACAACTAATTGAGAGTATATGTTTTCACCCATAACAAAAGTGTATGCCGTTTGCCCAGAAGTTTGAAGTCAAAATCTACTGTATTGGGATAACTGTAATGAGATAGCAGTACTGATAATTCATAAAATGGGAAAGTCAGTTTCATATCATTAAAAATATTGAAAAAATTTCTCCCAGTAGTAACCTCAATCATACCTAGCCAGTTAAATTTTATTATCTAGTAGTTACAAGATTAAGGGAACATGCTTAATAATGGCAAAAGTGTGGTAAAAGTGGGACTGTTCCTCCAATGCCAGTACACTATTTTCCTTTGTTTCTTAGTCTTCATTATGTCTGCTTGTCTTGGTTATCCCAACGTAAATTATCTCTCCAGACCAGCAAGGGGGCATGGGAATAATTGAGACACAGTTCACATGCCAATATCAAAAGGGAGTTTCAGGGTACATACAGATCCTGAAGATCACCCACATTTATTATCAAAACAGTTTTTGTGTCAAAAAGTAAACTGAGGGGGAAGTTCATTATCATCTATTTCCAGGGTAGCAGGACTAAAGTCATATCCTTTACTACAGTTACTTGGATTAACACCTCCTCCCTGGCGATCACCATAATTACAAAGAAAAGAGCTGAATGATATATTAGCATAGCCTGACCCTATTGTTAGGGTAGCCACAGCCTTTCTGGAATGCTACATGACCACCCTAGGTCGAACTTTGGTTTGAGATCCTGGCCACCAAATAATGTAGAAATATGTGGCTTGTACAATATTGCCCCACATCTGCTCAGTGAACACATGGAATGTTGTCATAATTGTGCTTGGTATAGAGTAGGGACCATATTGTGCTTGGTTTTCCTAACTGACAATAGCCGCTTCACAAAATCACTGTAACGATTGCATGTGATAATTGTTTTGGAAAGTATTAATGTACAGTATTATATTATCCAGTCATTTACTATGATTATAGTTATTATAGGCAGATTGGTGATAGAGATTTAAAGAAAGTAGCTGCACGAAGGCAGTACTCACTCAGACCAAATGGCATCATTCAGAGAAGTGGGTTTTGGCCATAACCAAACAAGACTGGCATGCAACTTTTAGAAAAATCACGCTATAGGAACAGATCAGAAAAAGTGAAAGAAATGCTTTCAATCTTCAGGGCTATCTTTTATGTATCTTTTTCTCATGATTATTATTTTTCTCTGTAC